TTACCCACCACATTTTGGAATTCCCAAATGTGTATTTTCAATGTTTCAGCTCACGGATACGAACCCCGTCACCTGCACACGGGAGAGAGTGGGGAAGTGTAGACCTCTGATTCGCCCACCTTCGAGCCACATGTCCCAGGCAAGCAAAGGTCCCTCCTGGAGATTCAGTGCCTCAATCGCTACCCGTACCTTGAGCCAGCAATCTCCCAGGATGTCATAGGGGGCCTAGGAGGCAGTCTTGACCTTGGCCTTTGCAAGGGAAATACTGGTCACAGTGGGCTAGTGACATGCTCCAGGCTGGAACTCGCTATGCCTGGGCAAGAGTCTTTACTACTTGAGCTACTCAGGAGGCTGTAGGATCTGTTCTCACACATGGAATCCATGCTGCTGTTCTCACTGCAACCTCACAAAGTATTAAATTATTATTATTATTCATTATATATCCACCTGATCTGGAATTCCTACTGTACTTATCTCTTTAATGTTTTAGCCCATAGTATGGACTCCTATACCCACATTGAAGAATAATCCACCCATCCTGTGAACCATTCATCTTCACACAGATACAAGTTCTGCAACGATGTAGTTGAAGAGAAAGAAAATGCATGTGCTGCAGGTGCCCGGGACGTCGCAGGGGTCACTGTCCAACCTTACACTTTGCAAAGCTAAGCCAGCTGTGCACTGCTGCTTGCAGAATCCCAAGGAGTGACTTGTCTCTGACTCACAGTGTCCGAATTACAGACCTCAACCTCTGCTCCAGGCAAGTGCCTATGCCAGACGAGTCAACGAATTAGTTGTTTAGCCATTTAAACCTTGGGGACCCTGCAAAAACGTTTTCATGTTCAATCTTTAATTTTCCACACGGCTATTCAACCCTCCTCTGAAATACCTCAATTGATAAACACAGACCTCTAACTAACTGAATGTGAATACACGGATGTCTATATTTAACACAAAGCTCTCTATTTGCCTCGCAGATAAAACTGAATTAGACTAAATTGCTCTGAGTACTCAGCTAACTTTTGACCTTCTAACATTACAACTTGGATGCCCCTGCTAAGCTTGTATCCAGGAAGCGACTGAAAGATATTTGTTAATTCAATAAAAATACAGCAGAAGTAAATTGCCTTTCAGGAATCAGCGGTGCGTGGCCTATAAATTCTTCCTACATATTTCCTCTAGTGTCCCTTATCACATCATTGGCAGCCAACTTTCATCAAAGAACAGATGCTGTGGACGATAACTGAAATTGTTACTTCTTTTTAAGTGTGCATATTGTTACAATGTATGAAATCATATTCGTTTTGCTAACCCGTGTCAGAACAAACGCTCTCCCTGCATTGTAAGCTTGCCAAGTGTTACTGTCATGAGCTGCAAGGATCCTCAGTGTTCACTGGTCTCTATTCCTGGTTTCAACTAAGGGGTATCTGCTCTGTTCTGTTCTAGGAGGAAAAAATATTCAGCATCAGTAATATCCAATTTCCTCCATAGCACAGAACTGGATTCTTGAGGCGGCAGTATAATAACACGCTAGATGAAGCATGGCATCATAGAATATGAATAAAAAATACATTTATTGTAAAATTTCAATCCAAGAGCAGTCATCATTCATCAAAAGAAACCAAGGCAATTAGTAACACTTTGATGCAGATTTGAGAACGCTACGTGCAAAGAAACCCTCTCAAATCAAAGTGGAACCACTGAAATGAGCTCTTTCTAGGTGCTCTGATCCTTTAATGCAAAGGTAAGCAGGGTATCCTTCTAGTCTTACAGCTGTGGATTTAAGAGATTCTTCTGAAATCATGCCAAGGAGTTGTGGTGTTAACCTAATTGTCAAGGTCGAATCCTATGTGTCACCATAACTTGGTCTGCTAAAGCAAATCCCATCCCCCCACCCTTCAGGTCTTGTAAACATAATGTTTGAACCTGTATTGTGTGCTACTGACCTCCTTTAAGAGACTGGCAGAGAATTGACATTAAGAAGTGTGATCATCTATCGCACAATATATGCTCTACTGCATTTTAACATAGGATTGGAATTTGCAGCAAAACCATGGCATCCTTGGGATCCTTAAGTGTGATGAAAAGCGTAATTATTGGGAATCACTAGTTATTTAGTTATCGCATACACACTGGATTGGCTAAAAATTGTAAAGCCTGGGCTTTTTGGCAATGACTACTGGAGTTACTCAGGACAAAATGGGACATGCTCTTCCGACATGCCTGCCACCCTTGAAGGGCGAGTCAGCACTCATGGTACGACTGATGCGTCTCTGTTAGGAAATAGTAGTGAGGACCCTATGCAGAAAACCTGAATGATATCCAAAAGGTGTAGTCAAGAGAGCAATCCAAGGTCCGAAAGCTGTAGGTAAACAAGCCGGGCAAAAGTACAAAACCAGAAGTGGAGCCGTGACCCATGAGGAAGCCAAGAGTGAAAACGAGAGCGATCAGTAAAGGGCCAAAACCATAAACCAGGAGACGTTGTCAGGGAACAAACCAGGGTCAGGAAGCCAATAACCATACTTGGTTGCAGCGAAAGAGATAGTAGCTCAAGCCAGGAAAACTGTAATACTGAGCACAGAGGAATGTGTGAAGCAGCATTAAATAGGGTGGGGAAAACTGGCTAATTGGGAACCGTTTGGAACGCGAGGTGGAATGACGAGTCCTCCGGATGGAGTGGAGTAACAATCTCTTGCTGATGCCACTCCTAGAAAACCACAGATGTTCCATTAGATGGAGAGTGAAAAGAGCTGCAGTCAAGTCATCCGAACCTTATCCCTGCATCCACAACCTTATCCCTGCCCTGGGAGAATCCTTTACTCCTACCCTTACTTCACTGGCAAGAGAAAACCCTGAGACCGACTTCAATGTCCACACCATCACAGACACAGACAGAGTTGTGAAGTGTGTGAGCTAGGCCACAACTCCAAACCATCCATCCATGTTCTAACTGCTTTATCAAATAGAGGGTCACAGTGGGAGCTGGAGCCTAACCTGGCAAGCAACAGATGCAAGGCAGGATACTCCCTAGACGGAACTCCATTCCATTGCAGGGCACACAAAGACACAAACACACACACACACACACACACTCACATGACTCCAGCCCTTCAGCTTTGAATCCGCTTGTCCTGTTTGTATTCAGGTAAGGATGGATTTAACAGCGTCGCCAATGAAAAGCAGAGACACCCAAACATTCCACTGTAACTGTCAGACACCTTTAATGAGACTCCTGGCAACGGCTTTGATTCTAGAACTCCCGATTCATTATACATTCCACGGAGAAGCACACTGTAATCCCAGCCTACAATAAACCCGCATAACCCCTTAGAAAGAAACATCTGAGGAATCAAAGATGCTTTCGCAGGAGTCACATACTGTGCATTGCCATAGACAATGATAAGGAGAAGTAATTGGAAACCTAATTGTCAGTCTTGCATGCTGATAAAAGTGCGCTACATAATACAAATTACCAGTCACTTAAGTTTCATATTTTCTTTTTAAGAATGAGATAAACATGACTATCACCATTTAGACAGCTCAGGAAGATCGGCACCTGTTACTGCATATAAACAAAAATGTCATTTGGTTGAACGGACACTGGAGTCAATTAGTTAAAGCTGTCTGTGTGAGAAAGAGAAGATGGAGGAAGAAAAATACTTTTTTATAAACATGTAGCACACACCTAGTGTAGCTTTTCTTCCGCGGTCTGTGCCCAACGTGAATTGCCTCTTAACTGGAGTCTGTCCATTACCTTGGCACCAGTTGAAAGGCAGATACGACAGTCCATGTGGTCAACCATTGAGCCTCACACCTGCGGTAAGCTGCCAAGTGTTGACAGAAGGCATGCCTTAATCCAGCACGAAGACTTCCGACATGAAGAGAATCTCATTTGTGTGATCTACACTTCTTTCTTGCGTGATGCTTTTGCGGTAATAAAAAGCCATCCTCCGCTACCAGACAAATTCTCCACATCTCTTTCCACTTTATACATGCTTTGTGTGTCTGATCCAATTTAAAAGAAGATACAGTATAGTTAGAGCAAGTCCCTCTGGTGGCATTGTAGCGGAGCTTCATGTATTTAAGAATATCAGCCTTAAACCAGGCACTGTATTACACTGAATGCTTGGCAACACTTGTTATCAGAAATGGGTTCTAGTTATGAATGGATATCTTGCAAACTTATAACCCAAAAGATAAATGATCATTTCAAGAGTATGGAACAAAGATATTTTCAACAACTAACATTGTTAATTGACTATAGTGGCCACAGTTAAAGCAGGTCCCTCTGGTAGCATCGTAGCAGAGCATCATGTATTGAAGAATACAGTATCTCCTTGAACCAGGCATTGTATTCAACTGAATGCTTGGCAACACTTGTTATTAGAAATGGGTTCCAGTAATGAAAGGATTTATAAACTAAAATATAAATGATCATTTCAAAAGTATGGAACAAAGATTGGAAAAAGATATTTACAACAACTAACAGTGTTAATTGACTATAGTGATCACATTGTAGGCTGGGTCTTCTACACTGAGGTCAGTTTTTCCAATGACTGCTAATTGTTAACGGTGACTTAACAACTGATCAATACACAACGGGAAGATGTGCTGAAATGTCAGGTGGAATCATGTTGGGGTTATAGACATGATACTTTATCTCATGTTTTCCAAATGGTTTCCGAGCTGAAATGTATTGACAAATGCTGACCTTTAGATATGGTAATGGAGATAAGGAAAATGTAAAAAAAAGTGCCATGACCTTTTTATACATTTACAAACCTTCCTTTGATCAAGTCTATATTGGTTCAGAGTAAAAATGTTTAAAATAAGCTTTCCTGGGGAGAAATGTCTTAGGTTCAACACTTCTTATCCCTTTATGTTTGCAAACTCGTACAGGTGACGAAAAAGCAGAGGAAACGATTTCATGATCTCTACATGAGCCGTAGATCCGTCTTGCTTTCTGCCATGGGCGGGAATTATTTTTCGAGGAAGCTTACCTTCCGAATGATGGGATAGCGTGAGAAGGCTGACGCACGAGGCCCCGATCCCAGATCCGAACACCGTGATCCGGTTGGAATCTCCTCCGAAGTAGCCGATGTTCTCGCTGATCCAGCGCAGTGCCTGGATCTGGTCCAGCAGTCCGTAATTCCCCTTCGCTGCCTGATCGCCGGTGCTGAGGAAACCTGAAGGATAGGAAACTGGACGTCAGGCACTACCAAAGCCTAGCAGAAATGTTGTTTAACCTCTAGCATGGAATAATGCAAAACAAAATCTCTGTGTCGAAGGGAGTCCTTCTAACTGGTAAGTATTAAGCTGATGGAGTGTGATGTTGTGTCAGGAACAAGGAACACAAGAACAAAATAAGGTTTACAAACGAGAGGAGCCCATTCAGCCCTCCTGGGTGGTTTGGTAGTTAGTACTTCATTGATCCAAGGATCATTTTTTTTAGAGAAGCCAATGTATTGGCAATGTATTTAACAATATGGCAGGGTATCCCGTTCCATACTCTCAAAAAGCTAACTGGAAAAAAAAGAAGGAAAACGCAGGTTAATTGCTCTTTTAACTGTGGAAGGAAAGACAAAAAACCATTATTTCTCTTTTCAGTGTTAAAACAACTCACTGTGTTTTTGTGTTATTATGCTGTTCCACATGCTACAGCAAAACGAGAATTTCTCCTTAAAAACACCTCCTCTTGCTCTCATTCGTGTTTTCTGTGTTAGCTGGTTTGTGGGAGGCTTGACTATCTATCTGCTGAGGGCTTTACTTCTGTGGCCACGGCCTTCAATCAGCTCTCCTCCCTTGTCTCAGCGGGATTCTCCAAACAACAATGTGCTGCAGGGATCGGATAACATGCAGGAGACGAGGAATAACCTCAAATGTCTCCCAGGAGATTCTTAACTCATCCAGCCCTAGACCCCAGAACCAGCTGTATACCTGTGGGACTCGAGAATCGATGGCAGTGTTTGTCAGAACTTGTTAGGTGGCGAGGACAATGTCGGGGGTCATGATGAATGAAGAGCCAGCCTGAGATCCAAGTGGGGTGGAAGGAAATCGGTCAGGGAAACGGACTTAACTTCCCTGCGCTTATCAAGAGCAATCATTTAAAAGTAAAAGATCTGAGCTAAGAAGTCAGTGGCCTTGACTGACCTGTCCTTAAGTTATTAAAGAATTAAGTTTAAGGAATGTATTGAACTGGTATCAGTGTTGGTCCCTTGCGCAGTCCAATTAGAAATCTGCACCACATCCCTGAAAACACATAATGACTTCGGAGCACTGGGGGAAAGTAATTCAAATGAGAAAGAAGCCGAACAATCACAGGATATGGAACTTGTGCTGCTTCAGAGATGGAACAGGCTTGTGAAGACTGTGCTCTATACTGGACTGGTGAGTTGAGGCTTGCCTGGCTCTTTGTCACTGTGAGTGATCTAACTGTGACAGTTTTTAAACCATTGATGCGTTGCTATTTCACAAATACAATTAACCGAGACAGTGTTTTACTTGATGCAAAAGGGCTAACAGACATATCTTAATTATATTATTACAACATCTTAATCAGAAATGTTCTCTAGGCTGATAGTATTAAATTAGCTTCCTCGCTATATATTAAACAGAAGCGCTGTTTTAACTTGAGAGCGGAGCTTGAAAACAAAATCCAGATATGAAAAAGAACAATAACTGGTGGTAATGCGCATGCCATAATAATAATGCCGTATGCAATTACATTTACAAATCCCCTCCCTCTCACCTCCTGGTTTGTGTTCTTGCCAAAGCCAGCCCTGACTGATGAAGTGGATTGGTTTTTGTTTTTTAATTTCCTCTGTGCTTGGAGGGATGGTGTGAACCTAATAAGTGCTCCCGTAAATGTGTCATGTTTTCACAACGGCTCGGCAAATTCTCGGAAAAGACGTATTTACCCTTTGAGTTTGGTTCCTTGGTTTTTTTCCCTTTGCTCACCTGACATTTACCTTTCGGACTAAGGATGAATCCTTGCTCATTCCCAATTCCATTTTTTGTATCACGTTACAGGTGGGTTAAAGAAGCTACACTATCTGCATTTTTGGGCGTGTGAGAAGACTTCTGACAATTACCTTGCCTGCAAGGCAAGTCTGATGCACAGGTGCCTGTGTGTGACCGCTCTTGGGAGGGTGCCCGTTAGGCCCTTAACAGCTGGAGGGGGATAGAGAGCAGGAGGAAGAGGGCGAGAGCGTGGGGAGAGAGCTCGAGGAGCACTGTCCACGCTCACTGTTCCTGCCTTTGTGTCTGAGCTCCTGGCCTCTGAATCCGTTTTGAAAGTTCAAGGCGCACGGTGTTGAGAAAGACAAAATCCCCTGAGAAAAGTCAGCAATCTAAGAAAAAAAGGGATGACAAGATGGATTACAAATAACTATAAAACCCAGTATTAGCAGCTCAGGTTAGGGGTTAGTATCTGGCAGATGCCCCCAAAAACACTTTAATTAATTCTTAATTGCTTAATTGGTCCCGGCGCTGGAGGTTCAGTAATTAAGGTGGGACGAGGATTTAGAAAGGATTGGGAAAGTCAAGGTATCCCACCTCCATGCTCGGTCACTGCACCCTCTCCAAATTACCAGAGGATTACTTTTTTTACAATTCTAAATCACTGCTCTGTCTTGTACCGCTCTCCAGAGTCAACATGTCTGGCGATGACCAATTATCATGAGATTGTAATCAGACTGTATGGGGCACAGGTTTGATTTGATGAGTCCTGCAGGACATCCGTTGCAAAGGACATATTTTTTTATTTCAGAAATAGATCAATTTGTCATTTCGAAAGCCAGCCCTACAAAAACACAACAGACAAACCCCAGGATCTGGATTTAGTTTGACTTTTGGTTTTGAAACAACCTAAATGTCCCCACAAAGCTTTTAGCAAAATAATGAACCTTTAAAATGGGATCAGTGAGAAGTGTGTAATTTCTTACCATTACTGAAGGGAAATGGAGGGGGTAAGGAAATGCTGTCTTGATGTCAACACATTTTAAGATGAGCACCCCTCAATAGTTTTTGGATTTGATAGTTAAACTAATGTACATTTGTAGGGAGAGCAGCTGCAATCTCACCTGCTGTATTCACTTTGTGCATGGAAACAAGGCACCACACACGTACTATGTAGCACTCTCATAGTCACACCTAACTACAGCGTTAGAATCAAAAACTGTTCTCTCGCTAGAAGGGCTCTCATGAAGACCGCAAGTTAAGAGTTCAAATTTTGCTTAATCCTTGCAGGTCCTGAAAAAAAAAAACATGGCTAAGGACTCAGAGGTGCTGGTAGGTACAGAGATAGATTGAACTATCTTACATGTTTCTGCAGAAAGAGCAAATTCTGTCTTTGTGGAGGCATGCTATTCCCTTTGTGTTAAGCAATGCAAGTTTGCTATTTATAGTGCGAAGCTGAAAGTGTCAAAATGATTAATGGCAATATAAAACACTCTGCTCCAAGTGAAGGCTGAAACACCTTGATACTAAAATCAATCGCTTAGACGGAGACACAGAACAACGCCCACAACAGACAGAGCACTGCCCGCCTGCCCAGCACCACGCAGCAGTGATCAAACCCACTTCCTGGATTGTACTTTAACCAAACTCCTTCCCGAAAACGGCAGTAACAAGATTAATGACGGAGGAACTGGTATGCTGAAGGAAACAGAAGAAAAACATATCAACAGATTGTCCTCTTCAGTGTTTCCAAAGAATAGCAGAGTGTTGAGAGAAACCCAGAAGCTGAATCTGTGCAGAAGCAGTGACTGTCACTGCTCAGGGCTGGTGTGAGCAGCTGGTTCTGTCTGTCTGAGTCTCCCATGTCCCTCTGCCAACAGACCTGTCTGAGAGACATTGTATGAGACCAACATACTAAGGCCATCTACTGGTCAAAGCCCCTGCCCTGGGTTTAGATGTGTTTGCTTAGAAAGGAGACGAAAGTGCAAAGGGCAGTTAAAATAAAAATACAATTGAAGTTAGTGCTGTTGGCTGAGAGCTCCAGAAACCCAGTCTATCTGGAGTGGAGTCTGAATGGAGTTTATGTATGTCTTCAATTGCTCTCAGTGTCCCCTTCTGCCATATGAGCAGGATAAGTTGCTTACAGATAATGCATGTTTGGAGAGATGAGGAACAAACCTGCAAATGAAGGATTTGGAAAAGCAGAAGTTTCTCTGGTCACTCAATTCGATGATGGACTTTGCAAACGTTTTTGCCGCATTGGATTAAAAATTCCGAAAGCTTGTAAATGACAGGTAGAGGTTTTGTACCATGATATTACTGCATTTATACCATTTTCCCTTTTATACATGGATTACTCTTCCAACTCTTCAGACAGGAGTGTCTTTGTTGAAGTGCAGCTATGACTCTGAAGAAGGAAGAGGCTTTTAATTGGTTATTGGGTGCTCCTGGATGCTTAATAAATGCAAGCAACCTAAGAACAGCATCAAAAACGTTTCTCATATCTTCGTTAGGGGCACTGGCAGCCTTTCCAAAAACTGCACAGTTCTGTCCCCGACTAATATCAGCAATGGGGTAGAAGGGTGTTTATCCAACACACAAGCAACAGCGCCGGTGCAACATAATTATAACAAATCAATTATTTCCCTGAGGCCTACGTCCAAAGAAGATTTACATGCTGTTTATTCATTAGGATCACCTCAGAGCACAAAAAAGATCAGGCAGAGAAATATGTCAGTAGGACGCAGCATAGGAATTCCAATACTATCACTGTGGCTGCTTCCACCACCGGTAATAGAATAGGATAATAGGAATAGTAATAGGATTGAGGGGATCATGAGGGTGGGCCACTGCCAGGGAATTTGTCAATCTGGGCCTTTACTGTGAAATCCCAGAGTAAGGAGCTCAGGTGTTTGAAATGCTGGGCCGCGGCTGTTTATGCAGGAAATGAGTCACGAGTCACGAGTCACGAGTCACGAGTTCTAGAAGATGGTGATTATGGTGACCATTACCATGGTGAGGTTGGTGATTGTTACCACTAGTGAGAATGGAGATCACTAGAAAGGATGCGAAACCTCACTAAAAGGGCCCTGGAAGAGCTGAAGTTAAATAGTGTGCACAGGTGAAATATGTTCCTAGCAGCCACAGCCCAGCAGAAAGTTTCCGACAGTCTTTGTCACATTTAAATTTTCAACAACCCTGACTGCTCCACGAAGTTGGCCATTTTTGG